AGTGGACACAGCGGCTCTGAAGCAGCCGCCGGCGCCCCCGCCGCCGCCCCCGCCGGTGTCGGCGCCCGCTGCCGAGGCCGCGCCCCCTGTCTCTGCCGCCACCATCGCCGCAGCCGCGGCCACCGCCGTCGTAGCCCCAACCTCGACGGTCGCCGTGGCCCCGGTCGCATCTGCCTTGGAGAAGAAAACAAAGAGCAAGGGGCCCTACATCTGCGCCCTGTGCGCCAAGGAGTTCAAGAACGGCTACAACCTCCGGAGGCACGAGGCCATCCACACGGGAGCCAAGGCCGGCCGGGTCCCCTCGGGTGCTATGAAGATGCCCACCATGGTGCCCCTGAGCCTCCTGAGCGTGCCCCAGCTGAGCGGAGCCGGCGGGGGAGGGGGAGAAGCGGGTGCGGGCGGCGGAGCGGCCGCCGTGGCCGCGGGTGGCGTGGTGACCACGACCGCCTCGGGAAAGCGCATCCGGAAGAACCACGCCTGTGAGATGTGCGGCAAGGCCTTCCGCGACGTCTACCACCTGAACCGACACAAGCTGTCGCACTCGGACGAGAAGCCCTACCAGTGCCCGGTGTGCCAGCAGCGCTTCAAGCGCAAGGACCGCATGAGCTACCACGTGCGCTCACATGACGGCGCTGTGCACAAGCCCTACAACTGCTCCCACTGTGGCAAGAGCTTCTCCCGGTGTGCACGGGGCCTCGGCCGCCCACTGGGCGGGTGGGGAGGGAGGGACGGCTACGGAGGTGGCCTGGCCTTGGCTGGCGGGGAGGGAGGAGGTTTGTGAGGACGGGGACCGGGAGCCACTCCCCGGGAGGAGGGAGGAAAGCCTCTCCGGGTTTCCAGGGAGCAGGGGGTGGTACTTAGCCAAGGAGGTGGGTCCTCCGGTTGTAAGAAAGCTTCGCGTGGGAGGAGGACCAGCCCGCCCTGCGTCAGGGGGAGGGATTTCCTGCCGCGCCAGCTCTCCGAAGCCTTGGGCTGGGGCGAAAAGGCAGGGATCTTTGGAAAGGCCGGTCGTGCTAAGTTGGGTAGAATTGGGAGCGCGTCCGCTCCCCAGGCCCCTAACCCCCACCCCAACGTGTTCCCAGGCCGGATCACCTCAACAGTCACGTCAGACAAGTGCACTCAACAGAACGGCCCTTCAAATGTGAGGTAGGAAGCCCGCCGCCTCCTGTCCCGGTTTTCATGATTTTGATCCTCATTGTAGCTGTCTGAGCTCAGCCTCTCAGACCCCCTTTTTCTCTCTCTCCTTTTTGCTTTTTCACTCCATTTTCTCATCTCTTCTTCAAGACCCTGTCATCTCACTCCCATTTCCTACAGATCAAAGATCCCCAAGGCTCTGATTTCCTTTAACCTCTTGCCCCCCTCTCCCCACTCCCCAAAGCTTTAACTCTCCTGACACCCCCCACGCCCCTCCCCCCTTCCCCAGAAATGTGAGGCAGCTTTTGCTACGAAGGATCGACTGCGGGCGCACACAGTACGACACGAGGAGAAGGTGCCATGTCATGTGTGTGGCAAGATGCTGAGCTCGGCTTACATTTCGGACCACATGAAGGTGCACAGCCAGGGCCCTCACCATGTCTGTGAGCTCTGCAACAAAGGTACATGCTGAAAGATGCTGGGAGGGCCAGGGACAACGGGTAGGGGACAAAGCCAGAGGCCCTTCCACAGACGTGGGTTAAAGGTGTTGTAGTCCAGAGCTCATGGCATCTAGAGCCCTTTAGGAAGCAAATGGAACAACATCAGGAGGACTGAACCTCATTAAGTTTTGAGAGGTGTTGACTGGAGGAGATGACCTACCCGGAAGAGTCAGTCTCTGGGGGTGGGTAGGGAGGGTGGGAGCAGGACTCACTGCTGTGGGGAAGGAGTGGTCAAGAGCCAGTTCCCAAGGGTTGGAAGCCAGGGTTTCAGCTGTGTGGCCACATGTTCTGCTCTTCGGCTCCTGGGGCAAGCAGAGCGCGTTGGCAGGGGTTTAACAAGCTCGCGCCCTGCCCCAGGAGCAGAAAAAGCTGCTTTTAAACAGATTCACATATTCACGGAGTAATTGGGCTGAGACTGTATGGGGCCCTGGAGGGAGGGGACACAGCCGTCTCTGCTGAGGGTCAACTCTTCAAGTGGCTAGGAATCAGTGCGCTGTCATCCCGGAAGAGGTCCCCCAGCCACGGAGAATAGGCTTTGTGGGCACCAAGGCTAGGAAGCTGACACCACTCAACAGGCCCCAAACTTAGGGAGGGAATGTGCCCCACCAGCCCCCAACAGAGTAGCTGGCCCCAGGCTACCAAGGATATGGTGGGAGGAGGACAGGGCCATCTGAGCAGGGCGTCCCCAGCCTAGGAGAACAGCCCCGTCTCTGGGGTCTCCACCTGGCTGACCCCCCATCCCCCATCCCAATCCACCCCCCCCCCCAATAGGCTTCACCACAGCAGCATACCTGCGCATCCACGCGGTGAAGGACCACGGGCTCCAGGCCCCGCGGGCTGACCGCATCCTGTGCAAGCTGTGCAGCGTGCACTGCAAGACCCCTGCCCAGCTGGCCGGCCACATGCAGACCCATCTGGGGGGGGGCCGCCCCCCCTGTCCCGGGAGACGCCCCCCAGCCACAGCCCACCTGCTGAGGGGGACCCCCGCACCCACCAGGCAAGGCGTGGGGCATGGCTGGGGGGGGTGGGATGGGTTGTGTGGGACGAGGGGGCTCAAAGGGCCCAATAGGGGATCTCAGGAAGGCCAGGGATGCCCATCCATCACTGAAGTTAGGGAGACTTCTGGGGACAGGGAAGGCCCTTCAGGACAACTGGGTAAGGATGCAGGCGGAGGCCTCTGGGGACCAAACAGGAAGTGAGCAACGGCTGTGTCCCAGGGGAGGGAGTCTGGGAATGAGTCTGGGGCAGGGGGCGAGGCTCTTGCCTTTCAGATTGTACTGTGATCTCCTGGTGTTTCTCGCTGTGCAGGTACCGGTGAGGTCTGTCCTATGGCGGCGGCGGCGGCGGCAGCTGCGGCGGCGGCGGCGGCAGCAGCGGTGGCGGCTCCCCCCACAGCTGTGGGCTCCCTCTCGGGGGCCGAGGGGGTGCCCGTGAGCTCTCAGCCACTTCCCTCTCAGCCCTGGTGAGCTCCAGGTTGGTGGCGGGGAGAGCGGAAAGTGGAGGAAAGTCCCTTGGTACCGTCTCCTCTTCCCCTCTCTTCCCACCAACTCCTCACTACTTCCCCACCAACCAAGGAGCCTCCAAAAGGAAAGGAGGAAGAGATGTTTCTTAGGGGAATTCGCTAGGTTTTAACGATTTGTTTCTCCTGCTCCTCTCTTCTCCCTGTCAGACCTGACCCCACACAAACACCTGTCCCCTCGGTTGTGTTGAAGCCCCCTGGACAGTGGGCAGGGGTGGCAGAGGACAGGAGTGGCCACTGCCCTCACCCCCTCTCCTCTCTGTAACCCCCTGCCCTGCCCTTCCAGGGATCTGTGAGCCTTCTCCTTGATGGTCCTTGCTCTCCTCCTTCCATCTCCCCCCACCCCCCACTACTGTCTGCTGCCCCTCCCTGGGGAGTTGGTGCTTTTTTTTTTTTTTTTTTTTTTTTTTCCCAGGGGGAGGGAGGAGAGGAAGGAGGGGAATCAAAGATTCTGTCCCAGAGGGGAAAAGGTGAGATTGGAGAAGGGGCAGAAGCAGGGAAGGCAACGGTAGTACCTTCATAAGGTGGGGTTGTTTGGGGTCAGGCCCTAAACATTGTCCTACTTAGAATCTGTCAGGGGAAAACACGTCAAGGGGAGCAAAAGAAGGAGCCACTAGGGCCAGAGGCAGGATAAGAGATGGAATTTTAGGGTGCCAGGGTAAACGGGGGGATCCAGGGACTAGAGGTGCTTCCTGGGGGTGGGGGGAATGCAGTCACAGTGTCTCCCCCGTCCCTCTTCCACCCCAGCTCCAGCCCTGGCCTTTTCTTTTCATCCCTCTCCCCCAAGACAGAAGCTGTGGCCCTGGCCATGTCATCGTGTTCCTGTGTCCCCTGCATGTTCCCCACCCTTCATCCCCTCCTTTTGCGCGGACCCCATTACAATAAATTTTAAATAAAAACCTGGCTCTGGCTCTGGATTGGATGAGTTGCTCTCACCAAGCCCTCTGTCCCCACCCCCAAGGAGTTTCTTCGCCGGCCGCCGGGTGTCAGTCCCAGCCTTGCTCTCGACCCAGCGTGGCTCTGGGGCGCTGGCTCCTCCCTCACCGGAGGCAGCACCAGTGGCTGCAGTCCAGATCCAGGGTGGGGCCGAGGCTCCAGTGACTGGAGAGCAGGTTCCAGGACTCCCAGGTCTCCGGGGAATACCCAATCTGGGCAGGCCCAGAATAGCCACTGGAGGTTTGAAGACGCCTGGGTTAGAAACCCAAACAGTTACCAGACAGAAATGCTGCTCTTCCCCCATCCACACCCCTTGCCTGCTGCTGAGACCCCCGCCGAATACCTGCACACCCTCAAGGCCCTAAGAGGTGACGGCGGGTGGTGGAGTTGCAGAAAGGACGGGGGAAGTCAGCCCCGGGACTGGGAGCAGTGAGGGCGAGAAGAAAAACCGCACTGCTCCCCACCTGTCCCTTTCACCCTAGGCGTGGCCCATTCTGCGTTTGCGGGCTCCGCGGCCCCAGCCCCCTTCCTGTTCCAGACTGCCCCTGCAGCCTCTGCCCTGGAATTCCCTTCTGAGTCCTGCTCCAGGGGCCCTGGGGCCTTCCAGCGCCCATTTCTGCTGCTGCTTCCTCGAGGGTAGAGGGACTTCCCCTCTCTTAAAACCCCACCCTGTTCTTCCTGAGCAGCCTCCCTAAGTTTTGCCTCATCTCCCTTCCCCTCTTTCTGCTTGTTGGGGTGCCACCACCGGGTCCCGCCTGTCTCACAGGTCCCGTCTCCTCGCAGACCCCTCTTGGTTTCCCCCGGCCCCCTGCCTCTGCCAGGACCCCCGGTGACCGTTGGCGGGAGGGGCCCGGGCTTGGGAAGGGGGCACCCCCAGGAGGCGCGCGTGGGAAGGGGTAGGGAGGGGGCGCGAGTGGTTACCCGGCCGGTTGCCCGGGTAACGCGGGGCCTGGCACGCGTGGCTCCCTGGGGCTGGCCGGGAGGGGCGGGAGGCGAGCTAGGGGCGGGGGCGGTGCGCGGCGGCAGCGGAGCGTAGGGGAGGGGACCTGAGAGGAGCGAGAGGAGGGGACGAGCAGAGGGGAGGGGAGACCCGCCGCCTCCCTCCCTCGCTCGCTGACTCGCTCCCTCCCGGGCTGCGGCTGCTGCAACGGGGCGGCGGTGGCAGCAGCAGCGGGAGCAGTCTAGAAGCCGGCGTCGAGGTGAGACGGGGATGGACAGAGGCTGCGGGTAGGAGTGCGCGGACAGACGGCGGACGCCGGGAGGGCTGCACCGGAATGCGGGCGCCTGGCGGACTGGCTGGTGGTGCTGGGCGCGCCACGCCGATGGGAGGAGGAGGCGCCGGTTCCCCGGGGGTTGAGGGAATCCCTGAGAGAGGGGCTGAGAAGGGGCTCAGAGGAAATGCCCAGGTCCCCCAGGGAGGGGCGGGGGCGTCTGCGCCCCAGACGCGCAGTGAGAAAACTGCACCGGCGGGGCACCCAGGGAGGAGGGGAGGATGCAGAGGGAGTGGAATGTGAGTATCGGTCCTCTGCCCAGTGTGCCTGTCTGCCTGTCGGAGTGTTACGAGCGTCTGCACAGCTTGTTGATTTTGGGGTGCTGGGGCATCTGCTAGGATCTGAGAGTCTGGCTCTTAACGGGTGGACCCAGGAAGAGACCATAGGGAGGGTCCTGTTTTCAAAAGGGTTAATCTCCCCGGGGCCCTCCCAGCAGAAGACTTTGAGCAGAGCAGTCCTCCCCAGGGATGTCCCACCCTAAGGCAAAGGAAACCCCAACTTTTCTTCTTCTCCCCAGAGGCAGCCCAGGGCTGGCCCTAAGACAGGAGCATAGCCCTCTCGGGCTGCAGTGCCGAGAGCCACCTCTTTCCTCACACCAAACCTGTCTCCTCCTCTTCCAGGATTGCTGCTGTCTCTGCTGCTCCATCCACTCCATTGAGGTCCTCTCCTCTCTCCCCTCTCAAGATGGCAGCCAGCAGCTCTGAGGTCTCGGAGATGAAGGTGATAGAAGAGGGTCCCCAAACCCAAGGAGAAGGGCCTGGCCATTCTGAAGCCGAAACTGGCCCTCTCCAGGTCCCAGCTGGGGTCCCAGATGAGCCAGAGGCCCTGCAGCCCGGCCCAGACGACACTGGGGCCCCTGTGGACTCAGAAACCAAAGCTGGACTGGTTCCAGAAACCACAGAGACCCTAACTGGGGCCCCAGGAACAGCCCAGGCCAGAGACCTCAGCTCAAGTCCAGGAGGGGAGTCAAATGCCAACCCCAGCCCCAAAGAAGCACACCAAGAGCCGGCACCCAAACCAGAAGCAAATAAAGAGGCCACTGCAGACCAGGGGTCTGATCTGGGGTCTGCAGCCCCACTTGAGCCAGCCTCAGAGTCTGCTCCCCAGCTGGACACCCAGTCAGACCCTCAGCCAGACTGCCAGCCAGATTCCCAGCCCACCCCCAAGTCAGCTCTTCAGCCAGAGCCCCCTACCCAGGAGGACCCCACCCCTGAGGTCCTGACTGAGAGTGTGGGGGAAAAGCAAGAAAATGGGGCAGTGGTTCCCCTGCAGGCTGGCGATGGGGAAGAGGGCCCAGCCCCTCAGCCTCACTCGCCACCCTCAACAAAAACCCACCCAGCCAATGGGGCTCCTCCCCGCGTGCTGCAGCAGCTGGTTGAGGAGGATCGACTAGGAAGGGCTCACAGTGGGCATCCAGGATCTCCCAGAGGTAGCCTGAGCCGCCACCCCAGCTCCCAGCTGGCAGGGTCTGGGGTGGAGGGGGGTGAAGGCACCCAGAAACCTCGGGACTACATCATCCTCGCCATCCTGTCCTGCTTCTGCCCCATGTGGCCTGTCAACATCGTGGCCTTCGCTTATGCTGTCATGGTGAGCCCCATGGGACCCTGGCCCAGGCCTGCTGTGGCTCCCAGCTTCCTGCCAGCACCTGGACAGAACCCCGGGAGTAGCCTTGTCTTCCCCTCTCCTCTCTGCATGGATCTCACTTCCCAATTATGGGGATTTTCCCGGTCTCTCCCTAGGACTTTACCGTCTGAGCCACCACTGCCCTACCCCGTCAGGTGGGAGGGATGCCAAGGCGTGTTTCACACCACCTTGCTGACCTGTGCCCTCCTCCCCCTGCCTCCCCAACCCTCTTTCCTCCTTTAACCACTGTCCACGGGGCCCGCCTGTCTCCTCTGGACAACTCTTTCACCTGATCCCTGCTGGGCTGCCTTCTCCTGACCTGGGCCATGGTGCCCCACCCCTCACCCTAACCCCAGTCCCGGAACAGCCTGCAGCAGGGGGACGTGGATGGGGCCCAGCGTCTGGGCCGCGTGGCAAAGCTCTTAAGCATCGTGGCGCTGGTAGGGGGGGTCCTCATCATCATCGCCTCCTGCGTCATCAACTTAGGCGGTGAGTGGGGGTCTGGGACAGGCTGGGAGGAATGGAAGGGTTGGCAAGGGCAGCTTTACTAACCCCTACCCCTGCTCTCTCCTGTCTGTCCTCCCTACTTCTCCTTTGTCTCTCCTTGTCTCCCCCTCCCCCCCACTGTCTCTGTCTGTCCCTCCCTCTCCTCTCCCACAGTGTATAAGTGAGGGGCTCTGCCCCGCATTCCAAGATTTTTCTTCCTGTTGGGAGCTGCCTTGGGCCCATCCTCCCCTGGGGGGAGCCCAATCGATGGCCCAGGCCCGCACCCATAGGGACCAAGGGAGCCTGAGCGGCCTTGTTTACAGCCAGCTTCTTTCCTGCTCCTGCATCCTGCCAGGCTCCTGTGCCAACCGTAGGCCTCTCTTCTTCCTGCACTGTTTCCAACCTCCCTGCACTTCTGCCTGCATCCCCTCCAGCCTCTTGGCCTCCCTATCCCTGCACTTCTGGAAACCTCCCTGCACTTCTGGAAATCTCCCTGAAGGTCTCACAAACTCTCTCTGCTCTCACCCTCCCTGCACTCCTCCCAACTTCCCGAATTCCCTGCACCTCAGCCCCAGTGTCCCCCTTTCAACTTTCACTGTCGTGGCATATTTCCCCATTCCTTTCTTCCTTCTCCCCGGTATCATCTCTCCTTCCCCTTTCACACCTTCTGCCCCCTTCCTGCCTCATCTCTCCTCAGCATTTCTTCCTCCCCTCAGGATCCTTTCCTCTTCCCTCTTGCCACCGTTTTCTCTGCAAAAACTCCAGCACGTAGGTCAGGCTGGGGGAGGGGAGCGGTATCAGGGGAGGGCTCCCCAGCCTGGGTTCCGACTATTTTCTGCTGGGCCCACCCAGGTCCTGACGCCCCCGGAGCGCCTCTGGGTCGCAGAGCTGGCAAGCCAGGCCTTGTCTGGGGACTTGTGCAGGGTGTCGTGCACTGTTGCTAGCTCTGTTCTGAACACGCACCTGCGAGGAGGAAGGGGCGTGGCTGTTGACCCTCTCCGGTCAGCCCGAGTTGACCTGCCCCACCTGGGCTTTTTAACCCGGTCAGCGAGTTTCTTAAAGGCGTCGGGACTGGGGTCATTCACGTGCTTTGTAGCGAAAGAACCCCGAAATAGATCCAAAGCTCCCAGATGCAGGGAGCGAATGAGGGGCGGGAAGCTCTATAATTATTTTCCAAGAGGACGAGAGAGGTTTGTTGCACGCGACAGTCCGCTAGGGAGGCGGGGACCGAGCTATGACGCTGTTTGGAGTTGGCGGGTTTTGTTTTCTTAAAAAAAAAAAAAAAAAAAAAAAAAAAAAAAAAAAAGCGTGGGGGAACACTAAAAGTCTTTAAAAAAAAAAGATACATCAAACAGATTCTCCCTCTTTGTATGCCGGATGCTGCATGAGTCTGAAACACCAATAAACGGAGACTGCATGAGACTCGCCTCTAAGCCTCAGTTGGTCCTTACGTCTGTCCGCCGCCGCCGGGGCCCGTGGCACTGCCCTCTTTCGGGCAGAACCTACTGGGTGGTGTGCGCATGCGACGACCCGGTGGCCATCTTTACTGTGGGCCGAAGCCAATTGTGCCCGAGCCTACCTGCGCATGTGCAATCCTCCCCTTGCTTTCCTTTTCCAAGTAGCTTTGGCTAGAGCGGAGCCTTCCGCGCCATCTCTGTGCGCCTGCGTACTGTGACCCTGCGCAGCCCGGGAGGCGGGTCTTAGCTCCAGGTGCGTACGGCGGCTGAAGTGGCGGAACTGCGAGGTGTGGGGAGAGGGCGTCGGATCCAGGTGTGGAGAGGGGCGGTGTGAAGGCGTAAAGAGCGGCTCCGCCCCTCTCTGGCCCAGAAAGTGGTTCCGGTGATCCCTGGGAATCTTGGAGTACCGGATCTGGATCCGTGGGGCGGGGTCCTCGGAGGGGACTCAGCGCCCCCTCTTGGGAACCGGCGGTCTCGTCGCAGGGACCGTTGTTGGAGCCTGATTGGTTGCAGAGACAATTCCTAAACTCCTGGGCAGCCCAATCCCTTGGGGGAGGGGGACGGGAGCCCCCCCCCCCCGCGCCCCCCCCCCCCCCCCCCCCCCCCCGCCCCGGCTTACTACTCCTGCATCCCCTATCATCGCAAGGCCCCTCCCCTAGTAGCCTATGTCCCTTGTTCGGGGTCATGGAGACATTTCGGCCACCACGGCGGCGCCTCTGTCTGAAGAAGGGGAAGTGACCTCTGGCCTCCAAGCTCTGGCCGTGGAGGATACCGGAGGCCCCTCTGCTTCGGCCAATAAAGCCGAAGAAGAGGGGGAAGGAGGCCGGGAGGAGACGGAGCATGAGGGGTCCGGGGCTGAGGAGGTGCAGGGAGAAGCCCCCAGTGCTGACGGGGAAGAGCAGGCCAAGGGAGAATCCGAAGACTGGTACGTGCCCTGCAGTGATGAGGAGGTGGAGCTGCCCGCGGATGGGCAGGCCTGGATGCCTCCCCCCTCCGAAATCCAGCGGCTCTATGAACTTCTGGCTGCCCACGGTACCCTGGAACTTCGGGCTGAGATCCTGCCCCGCCGGCCACCGACACCTGAGGCCCAGAGTGAAGAGGAGAGATCCGATGAGGAGCCTGAGCCCAAAGAGGAGGAAGAGGAAAAGTGAGGGCACACCCTTACACCTTGTTCCTGGGGCTTGCTTCCTTTGATGCCCGGAGGAAATTGGGAGGGGAGGTGGGACCCTGGAGCATGGAAAGTGTTGGCACAGAAGGGGGCGGGGGGGGGGGGGAGACCACCCTCACCCTTCACTCTCTGTCCACCTCTCCCAGACCACACATGCCTACAGAATTTGACTTTGATGATGAGCCAATGACACCAAAGGACTCCCTGATTGACCGGAGACGCACCCCAGGTACAGACAAGGGGGGCGGGGGGTGGTGAAGAGCCTCTACTCCCACTGACCTAAAAAGTGACTGCTTAAAAGAGGCCTATGCTTGGTGCCTTGGTTGCTACACAACTCGTAGCTGCAGGAATGAGCATTTCACCCAGTGGTGCCCTCCTTCCGGCTTGGATAGATACCTTATCTTCCTTTACAAAACTTTCACGAATAATTCTATAATGGTCCCCATTCCTTTTATCTTTGTCTCCCTAAAAGTTCAGGTCTTTCTGGTAATTCATTATTATCTAGATCCTCATCCCTCTACTTCCGCGTACATCTCCTAATCTGACCCAATTTAACACCCCATGTGCCTTCCTAGAATTTACCCTTAGAGCCATTCTTGATTTCTCTTTCTCTTACCCCAACATTCAAGCCAGCAGCAAGTTCTGTTAGCTCTCTACCTCCATGTTTCCAAGTTCATCTGCTACTCTCCACCTCCAATACCACACCCACATCCAAGCCATTATTTCTCTTGCCTGGATATTTGCAGTGACTCCTAACTGGTCTCCCTGCTTCCATTCTCAGCAACTAGAACGATCCTATTAAAATATAAATCACGTCACTACTCTGTTTAAAATTCTCCAAAGGATTCCATCACTGGAGGAAAGAGCATGTCAAGAGAGAATCCATACACTGCAACTCCCCTCCCCTGGCCCCCCCCCCCCCAACTCTGCCACTCCCTGGGTCACCAAGGCTTCCAAGGACATTTCCATTTAAACTAAGAGATCCAAGCCACTCCTCATGACTTTGGCCTGTGAGTGGATTCTTTGAGCACATCTTTCAGTCTCCTCCCCCAGCTTTCTATACTCTTCTTTGAACAGGCCTCCCTGCTCCTGCCTGGGGCCTTTGTACTTGTCCTTCCCCTGCCTGGATACCCTTCCCTGGTCTGCACATTACTGGCCCCTTCTCGTGGTTCAGACCTTCACTGCTTACCCCATCTGAGGCCGAGCCCTAAACCTCAGAACCTCCATGACAGAGGTCTGGAATTCTCTATGTTTAATGAACTCCGCAAGTATTAGTTAACATCCGGACAGGTCTGGTGCACACTGTTTCCCATCCACATTTCTTACCTTACTTTTCTCTAGGGAGCTCAGCCCGGAGCCAGAAACGGGAGGCTCGCCTGGACAAGGTCCTCTCAGACATGAAGCGGCACAAAAAGCTGGAGGAACAGATCCTTCGCACTGGCAGGGACCTCTTCAGCCTGGACTCCGAGGACCCCAGCCCCACCAGCCCCCCACTCCGGTCCTCAGGGAGTACTCTCTTCCCCCGGCAGCGGAAATACTGACTGCTGCTCCTTCCGCCACCTTTAGGATGCAGGGTGTACACGTCCTGGGACCTGGGCCTTCCTTCCCTAACCCAGGGCACTGGGGAAGAGGACAGAGACTCCCAAGCTCCCAACACCGCACCTTGCCAGAAGGAGGACATGTGTGTATTTACGTTTTCTGGTGAACATCTCTTTGGAGAACCTGGGTTGACTTTTCTGAATCTAAAATAAAAAACACAAAGTTATCTTCTCTTAGGGGCTGGGTGGCAGCAGGAGCCCAAACAGTTGTGGGGTGGCAGAAACATATTCAGCCAGATTGGGAAATGAAAGTCATGTGGGGCAGAGGTGAACTCAGCACCTGCCCCTCTGACCCTTCCGGGTCTCATCCCAGCACTGCCAGCTGGCTCTGAAGTGGGACCTCAGCGAGAGAGCCAAGAGGCTGCAGTGCCTTCAGCTGCAGTAGAAGCCGCCCAGAGGAGGAAGAGAGAACCAGCTGCGAGGGCCCTTTAAATGGCCAGGCCCCACCCCTGAGTGCCTGCCCTGCCGGGAAGTGATCCCTAGGGCTGGGCCTGGGAGTTTCCCCCTCTGAGGGGTCTGGGGCAGGCAGCACTCCTTCTGGGTATACTTCGTACAGGTCCCAAAGCCCTCAAACAGTTGGTGGGACCTTGTGTCCCTTAAGGCTCGCCTAGCCCCGTCCTGCCTTCTAAGGCCTTGCTTCTGCCGGGGCAGGTAAGACATCTCTGAACCGGAGGAGGAAGAAGGTGGGTAGAGGCTTGGCCGTGGGAGGTTTTGCTTTCCTTGCTGGATTTTTTTTTTGCCTTTTGAAGTAAACGTAGATCAACTTGTTATCTTGCCAACACTCCTCCACCCCCCAAATCGAAGTCCTCTTGACTTCAGGCTCCCATATCAGAAGTTAGGGCAGAGGCAAGTTGGGTCCATTCGCACTCTCTCCTGGGTCCCTGGGTCCCTGCTGTAGGCCTCTGCCTCTTCCTCCTAAGGACCTCGGCTCTGGCCTGTCCTCTCTGAGCTTTTAGAATGTGATTCCCGCCCCCCACACACTGAGATCCTTCATCTATGCCAAATGTTGAGGATTTCCCACAGCCTCACTTAAGGCTATGCTGACCGCGACCCTAGCAGGCCATTTGGGAGGTGGTTAGCAAAGCGATCTCAAGGTAGGCTTGACTTCTAGAAGGCTTGGGGGTTGCTGAGCAAGGCTCTCTCATTTTCTCTTTTGGGGGGGGTGGAAGGGTGGGGGCTGAAATCAAGAAACAGGAAACTCATTTGGACCCGCCAGCCTGTGATTATGGGGATCTTAGAGCTGGCTCTCAGGAGTGAAGTATGGGGGTGGGGGATGGTAACTGAGGCAGATGTCCCCTGTGTTGTCTGTTTCCCGCCTGGGTGGTCCCCTGGGTTGTGAGGGGGGAAAGCTGGCTGTTACATGGGGTGCAGTCAGGGGGCTCCCTAGAAACTTCTGCCTGTTTCTGCCCTTGGCAAACAGGGCACCCAGCCTGACCCCGGGTGAAGCTTTCTGGGTGAGGCAGCTCTCTGGAGCAGCCACCCTGAGTGGATGGCCCAGGGACAGCCTGAGGGCTCCAAGGTGACTCTGGCCTCCTTGTTGGATGGAGGAGTTCCCTCCCCCCCAACCCCCCTCCCCTTGCAGAAATTGCTCGGCTGTGAAGTGCCATTGACCCTGTCTCCCAGAGAATAATCTGCCCCACCCGGGTCCTAAGTTCTTGTTCTGTGCTTCCTGGTTTGGGAGCTCTGCAGCAGCGATCCCAAGCTGAGTTCTGGCTCTGTCCTTTGATCATTGCGTGATCCTGAGTGATGTTGCTAACTAATCTAGGTTCTTGTGAGGATTAAATGAATGAATTAAAGGTCCTTAACACAATGCCTGGCACAGTTTAAGTTCCTAATAAGCGGGAGCTGTTATTTGGGGGACTCTTGCCAAAGACACACATTCTAGAGTCTCCTGGAAACTGGTGCGGTGGGGCTGGATGAGGCCTGGGAATCAGCATGAACAGGAGCAACACTCTCAGCTGGTTCCTGTGATGGAGCAAGTTTAGAAAACATTGATCTAGATCAGGGGTTCTGAAGCCTGGTTCCTGGGTCACTTCTCAACTGGATAACCTTCATCTTCACTGAGTGGCATTAATTGGCAGCATCCAGGAAGTAGGGTGAAGATAGGGCGAGGAGCATCCTGAGCTGGCAGAACTGTTCTGTCCCCAGTGAGGCCACCAAGCTGCTCCTCCTCCCACAAGGTAGTTGAGCTGGAGCTCA